CGTGCCCACTCAAAGAAGTGCCAACAAGCTCAGTAAGAAGAGGCAGCTCCCCCTTCAGATGGCAGTTGGGTGAGAAAATGATTGCCATTGCTGTTGAAGTTGATGCTCTGACCTCGAGACAGATAGAGACATGGCGCCGGCGTTGCCGAGCTCGGTGGTCGATTACGCATGTCCAGGAGAGGAGCATTTGAAGTTGGAGAGACTTACTCGGTGAAGTAGCGAGGGGACTTGAGCAATCGAGCAGTGATCCTACTCAGCAAGACGGCCCCAGAGGTAAAGTAAAGAGAAAAACTGCTGGTGATGCTTTCGGGGCCGATTGGTGTTGAGCAAACGGACTGGGAGAAGAAAGGGGGAGGAATGACAGCGAGGAATGGAGCGGGGAGGCGTGATTAAGAAGCGGAAGCGAAGCTACCAAGCTGCCTGCTGCAGGCGAGGCGAAAGGTAGGTAGCGTCGCGGTCGAGTCAACCAAGCCGACCGGGCTGGGGTGGGGTGGGCCCGTGGCCAGACCAACCCAGATCAGATCAGATCAGATCAAAATGGGACGCCGCCTCACACCATGTGTGGTGGTTGCTGCTGCTTCAGGAATCTTTCCTGGGCGTGCGGGTCGGACAAATGGGCCTCGAACGATGCACCAACCCCTCTTGACCGGCGTTTATTCCATAGGCAAGGCTCCTACCATCGTAACTTGGGTGTCCCACATGCTACACTTGCATGGTAGTCTGGGAGCCATGATGCGGGGTGACGACTTCCTTTGCATGTCTTCGTTTCACGCCCATGGCAATTTCCAGTCAATGCCCATACTGCGATATCAGGCAGCGGCAAGGTGCAGAACAGGACACCCTCCCATGAGGAACCCAACCATATTCGCGTCTTGACACGAGTAGCTCGACTCGTTCCTCTTCGCTCTGCATGCATCCTGGGGCGTGCTTGCTGGCGCGCGTTGTTTGGCCCCCTCCCCCGCCAGGCCCGCAATAGACCCGCCTGTGTTGGGAACCTACCCTTCTATCCACATCGACGCTGCTGGCGCTGGCGCTCTTACTGGTACTGGTCGTGCCAGGACTCGTTGAGATGCATGGAGCCTCAGTGGGACCGGGGCCGCCGGAACTGATTGTCGGCCAGAATGACAAGCAACTGCAAGCACCGACCATCCTTCCACTCAATATAGTCAGGAATGGAGAAAAGTGAGTGAAGGGAGGGCAAAGTGGGAGCTGAGCTGAGGCGAGCTGTCTACGGACAGGGAAGAGCTTGTTTGTGTTGCGGGCGCCTGGAGCTTAGGGCTCCATTGACCCCACACAAGCTCCTCTTGGTGCCTTTCCCTCACTGTGAGCCCCTCTAAAGACCATCAACCCTCCGCTAGGTACCTTACCTACCAAACGATCCTACGCGACAGTCGTTCCCTATCGGGCTGTCTCGATTTTAGCACTTCTCAGCACCCTGCCAAGTCATAGACACACGGCGAAACAAGAGGAGAAGAAAGAATTGTTCACTTTCGCTGTTGGTCCGTGGGGTCTCAAAGTTGTTCGGCCCCCTAACACGCTGACCAAAATATCAACCCTTCGATCTCGTCACGTCAGGCATCATGATAGCCTCACATGACACTCGGGGCCTCCCATTCGCTGGTCTTCGCATCAAGCGCTGCGCCCTCGAATGTTGGGCTTTTCGCTAATAAAACATTTGAAGGCAGAGGTCTGTGCCGTTCTCTGTGTCGAGAGCCTCTCCGTAGCTTCCGCCACGGCAAAGCCGCCCCAGCGCACACATTGGGAAACCACGTTGGGCCATACCTCACACCGAGATCTCTCGGAGTAAGGAATGCAAATAACCCACCCAATCGGACTACTCCAAAGATCTCACTATCATGTCGCGTGTGCAGAGAGCGTGGAGCCAAACGAAACGCCAACGCCGCCAGCAGTCTTTCCGCCCCAACGCCGGGCAATGCTGCAATCGCTCACATGGAAAAACATAAGAAAGGTCTTGTCAAGACATCATCAATCTTCGGCGGGCCGGAAACGCGCGCCTTTCCATTAGAGAATACCCGAGTCTCTCAGGGCATTGTTGAGAATTGTCTCCTTGACCGCTGCAAAGACAAGACGGATATTTGACGTGTCCGTCGCTTGAGTGAGACTGAAAGGAGGTAAGCAAATGTTCAACGTCTGTTCGGGGCTAGATAAGCATACTGGGGATAGAGGTGCAGGTGCGCTCTGTTGACCTGGTTGAAGCGCCACAGCAAGTATTTGGCTGCTTTATTGACATCGTTGCCTCCCGAGTAATCCGGGAAGTAGTTTGCCATCGGCGATCGGTTAAGCTTTTGCTTAAAAATGTCAACCTTGTTTAGGAACAGGATGATGCTTGTCCTCATGAACCACCGCGAGTTGACCACGGAGTCGAAAAGGAGCAAGCTCTCCATCATGCGGTTCTGATCTTGTCAGCACACCTTGCTCACGACGGTGTCTGGAGCTGCGGCTCACCTGGCTGCTCTCTTCTAGCAACACCTGATCGTACTCGCTGAGGGCAACGCAGAAAATAATCGACGTTACATTCTCGAAGCAGTGTATCCACTTCTTCCGCTCGCTCCGCTGACCTCCGACATCAAACATGCTACATCAACAGTCAGCATGCCGACTACATGTACTCGACACTTCATGGAACCCTTACTGGATGCTGAGTTGGCCCATCTGGAATCGTGTCTCGTAGATGCCTGTCGTCTTGGTTCTAGCTCGGAGCACGTCCATCTCACTGGGGAGGTAATCTGGCGCAACTATTCGCATGACTTCCTGGAAAAAGCTAAACGTCGATGGTTAGCCACCAGTTCACATCTGAAGCGTCCTGACGAAAGGCTCACTATTCCGCTGAGTCCATTAGATAGAACTCGGTCTGTCTCTCCATCAATTGGTCTTTTGCCGGGTCCCCCCATATCGATTGTATCGCCAGGCCAATCTGCGGGTCAATATGTGCTTGGGGACCAGATTCGACTGTGTAGTCCATGAGAAAGTCGGCGTATTCCTTGTTCTCGGGGGTAGAAAGATCTAGCTCGAACTGGCGCATGGCGAGAATGACAGCTTTTGCGCATTCGACAAGGTTCTTAAAGACCGTTGGTCGGTAATTATAAAGCTCGTCTTCGGAGTATCCCTTCAGATGTATGATCTTCATCTGCTTAACGATCGTCGACTTGCCGCTCTCGCCGGAACCTGTTCAAGAGTGCGTGAGCAGAATGTATATAAAATGCAGAGTGTTGTGTGATATGTCAACTTACCAAGAAGAAGAATCTTGCACTCGCGCCTAAGTCGTCTAGAATCCTCCTCCAGTTGCCGGTCAATGGCCTGGCTTTTCTTCTTTTGGTCCACCTCCTCGTTATTTGAACTCATACACGCACCCATCTTTGACGTCGGGAGTCGAGCGACGGGAGGAGCGTTGATACGTTGTAAAAGACTTCGATTGATTGATTCCGCGAGGGATGTTGCAGAATCCAAGAGTGGGCGTATCTGTCGCAGTACCAATCGCCTTCACATGCCCATCGCAAGCGGCCTCAGCGGAACGACGAGACGACGAGACAGGAGCGGAACAAGTATTGATTGTTCTTCCGCCACTTTACAGATAATGGTGACACGGATTGCGATAGTGCTTTGGATGTTGGACAGCGATCAATGTGGGCGAGCAACGTAGCTACTTGGAGTTCCGCCTTGCGACGTCGGCTGTCGGGTATCGTGGGATACGGGGGCGCCGTGTCGAGGTACGGATGTTGCGCTTCCCTGGACAGCAAATGAATTGAAGAATTTCAGCGACCTCAATGATCGAGCCGGATAGTTTCGTAGGAATCGAAAGGGGTCGGTTGGTCAGGTTGCTATGTTCCGTCTGGAGATGGCTGACTAGCGGACGAAAGTGGGTAATACGTGGTCAGCGGTTCGAAGATGCGATAATGCAGGGGAAGAGTAGTCGACTCTGGCCGAGTATGGTTATGGCCGACGGAGCGAGCAGGTTCCAACGAGACGGTCCGCAGCAAAAGTTGGAATTGACGATTTTACTTTGCAGCGTGCTATTGATGAAGTCAGGTCGGAAGCCCGGGTCGGCGAGTCGTGTGTCGTAAGGAGGTGACGGTGGAGGAAGGGGAGGGAAGGAGGAGCAGGCACCTGTAGTGAGGAGGAAAGCGCATTGGAATGGATAGCTTCTTTTCTGGCTGGGTTCCATCCACAGGGCAGGAGCGGGCTGAATGGTCGAGGGTTCGAGGGTCAATGGGGGGCGCTTGGGGGGGGCGCCACCAGCAGCCAGAGGGCAGTGGCCAGTAAGAAGCCAGGAGTGTGATGGCAGGGGCGGCTGGGGATGGGGTTTCCCACCTCGAGACTGGGGCAGTACTTCCACCGCCGAATCGGGCGCCAGCATCTCAATTGTACCACACGGCCTCAAGGTTTCGAGGCCAGGCATCTCCGCACTCTTAATGCCAAACTTGAAGATGAGGTACCCTACCTACCTAGGTAGGTGGGCAAGGTAGGTAAGGCAAGGTGAGCAAGCTTCAGGGCGAGCCCAGCATCTAGGCGTCGAAGGTGAACCAGGGCCTGCAAACCACGGGCGTCCACAATAGAGCAAACGTGTTAATCGAGCCTACAAAGTGGCCCCTTGCTGTCCTGATAGAGATTGTTGCTTCACCTCAGAGCCGGTCTCGAAATGTTAAAGACTGGTGCACGCCGCAATCCGTGCTTCTTCTTCAGCGAACTGCGCACGTTCGCTACCTTTCGTGCTTGCGCCAAAGACACAGGTACCAGGGATTCTGTTCGCCTGTGCATCGGGAGATTCTCCGTCAGCAACGCAACGTCTTCACTTCTCGTAATATAGCGACTCGGGGGGCAGAGGGTCCACCTCCAATCTAAAGTATCGTCTACCCTCGACCCTCAACAGTCTCTCATTTTTACCCAGGTTCACCCCAGAACACCTCGGATTCGACAGGAGCTGGATGATTCACATCGATTTTGCATCCTGTTCTGCCACGAATAATGTCTGACATGTCATTCTCTTCCATACCAGTAAGCGGCAGCAAGGATGAAGTTTGCGCCGAAGGTCGTGTACCTACGCACGACATGACGTGCTCGACACACAGCCTCACACCTCACGCCCACACAGGTTATGCACATCACTGGACACCGCATTGACTCGGCGCCGAACAAAGAGTCGATCACCTCTCCCCCAGCATTTCACTCACGCATCGGCTCTCGCAAGCCAAAAGCCTCACCCCTCAAAACTAGCAGGTTGGTCAGCCCGCCCGTTAGAATCGTCGCTGAGCTAGTCCCATTGAGGCTTGGCAGGAGGCTTCATGCCTTTGGTGGACGTGAAGTTTGGGCACCCTCCCCTGCACTGGTTGGTGACACAACGGATACAGTTTGCTTTTCCCCCCTCCCTTTTCCGCCCTGCATCCATCGCAGCCGCCACTGCACTTTGTTACACATCTAAGGCGCCAGCCTCTCCTCGATTTCGGTGTCATGTTCCCTTAAGACGCCCTAGCGAATCTCTGCTGGTACTGGGACCATCAATCGGCCCTACAGCCACTCGAGACATGGGAGGCTCAGGAAGGTGAAGGGAGAGCTGAGTTGCACGTCTGTATCGAGATTGTGCAGAGGCACCCCGCAGCCGGAGGGCTTTGGTAGCAGCAACATTGTATTCGAAATCGCGGAGTGCTCAGCTCGTTGATCGCGACGACTTCAGCAACACACCAACAAGCAACCATGTGATGAACCTCGCAGAACTTCATTGGCAAAAGTCTGCATCAAGCCCGAGCATCGATCACAACCAGCGTTTCCTGGAATTTCCCTGCCTTCCGCCGGAAGGCTTATCTCCACTGAAAAGTCAAAGTGGCATTCTCTAGTCGCACCGAGGTGCTCTAGAGTCCGTGCTCGTATGCCCACTGCCAAGCTTGATACGCGGCGCGCGTGAGAAATCTCATTGGCGGTTCACGTTGTGACTGCCGGTGGAACACACGAATGCCTACAGGGACTGCACGTGGCTCCGTTGTCATACTAGACGAAGCCCAACTGTCGGGAGCATTGAGGCATCGAGGCACTGAGGCATCACTGTCAGGCTCTCGCACAACGATGATGCTATAGTGGAAGACCAATGATGTGGAACTCGAGTTCGCACTCGCCATTTGCACCTCGCATGTGAATATGAGCGCACAGATAAGGGTCACTGGTTTTCGGGCGTGTTTTTTCCACGATACCCCTGCTCTTGGACCTCGCAACTTCCTGAACGAGAAATTCATGCCGATGCACCCTGACTCTTCACGCACGCATGCAAGTCGGACACCTGGCGCCATTCGAACGCATTTGGATGGCGCACCCAAACCTGGCTGACTCTGTCGTGTTTCAAGTTGCTTCATTTCGGGTGCAGCCACGCCGGCTGACTAACATCATGTTTGAACCACATTCTTGCGGTTCACATTACCACTGGTCGCCTAGATATGTGTGTCGAGCGATGCACGATCGACTCGGCGAGAACGCAGCGTCTTTGCGGCAGACGGCATGGTGCAAGCACACTTGACCATCCTATACAAGAGTCGCAAAGGTAACAAACTTTCAGGAGCTTTTCCATGGTATGCACTGCACATCAACACAAATCGAAAACTCCTCACATATTTTCAGGCCGACCATAGTAGTCGGTACAATTGCAGCAGGCAAAACTCGAAGAACAAGGTGACCTGCGACCGATAGATACCCACAAACAAGGGAAAGGGCGCTTGATTGTTGGGACCAGAACAACATGGCTTGACTTGCACTAAATGTTGGAGACGATGACCAACACGGAAGGACAGAGTTCCGCCTTTATTGTCCAGGGGCGCCACAAATACCCGACTCCGAAGTTGCGGTCGGTGACTCAAACCTGGCCTATAACGAGCTCGGTATGCCGCACTCGTGGTTTGGTGCATAGGCCACTCAAGCTTAACTTCCGAAAGGCGGACAGGTTGGCCGAGATCGTCGCAGCCTGCGGGATATAATGCACAGCGCAGAGACTAGAATCCCAATCCAAATTTGCTCCGCGTGGCGCAATGGTAGCGCGTATGACTTCTACACACAGAGATATCATAAGGTTGCGAGTTCGAGCCTCGCCGTGGAGTTTGTATTTTTGCCTGCGACAGTTTCACTCTATCAATGATCTGAATCTTTTTTAGTGCCCACATTGCGTCCCTTCCACACACTGCCACTACGATGCGTTGTTGCAAACCATTCACTACCGGGGAGGGCCCTTCATTGCCAGTATCAGAAATGCAGATGAGCAAGCTGTAGTCTTACTTCGCTTACCAATATTCCTTACCAAACCCCTCCCCCTTTTTAGCACAAAAGTGCCAAAGAACACGAACAAGGCCACACACATACCTACACAGGCACACGTTCGCAGCTTTGTTGAGCCAATGGTTGTAGCCTTTCGAGTCTGTGCCACTTCGAGGCTGACGCTTTACGGCTATCGGGAGCCGTTAAAACGCATGCCGTCGGCGCAGTTGGTCAAGTGGGATGGCACAGGAAACATGCGACGACAAAAGCTCTGGTACCATTGGCGGCAGCGACCGTTTGGCCGCCATATGGCTGCGGCCTGTCGTCGGCTGACGCATGTAGACCGCGCGCGATGTTTCGACGGGGTTGAGAGCGCCATTGATCTCGACAGCATTTGTAAGAAACGACACCCGTGGACATCTAAAGCGGGTCTCCAGGCTTCTGGGCGTCATCGTCTGGGGTGTGTCTGCGGGAGGTTGCCAATATGCAGCGGCGCAGGACCCAATCATGGCGCAAGCCGAGTAACATGGATGGTGTTGCAACGCAGACCTACGGTTGTTATTGAGCGGTCTATACTGCATGACCGACACTGCATTTTCTCAATGGTTGTTCACCATGCCTGCAATATCGAAGAGGGAAGATCTATAAAGTTGCTGGTTGACTCGCCCCTATGACTGTAGTCTCATTCCCTCGGCCTCACGAAGCATTCAGCTTATAACTGAGAACCTGACATCTGCCGATCTCCAACCTAGCCACAGCACATCACTTCGATATCAAACATGTCTTCACTCAAGCCTATCACGCTCTATGGACATGGTAGGAACACAGGACACTTCATGGTAGCAATCATTGCTAACCTGCCTCGCAGCCGGACCCAATCCGTGGAAGGTCGTCATGATCCTGGAAGAACTGGGCGTCCCCTATGAGACGGTCAGCGTTTTCCCCCGCCGCCTGTGTCTGAGCCGTTCACATGATGAGCAACCTTCTGACGCGGTCACAGGAAAACGTCGACTTCTCCGCTGTCAAGCAGGAGCCCTATACCCTCCTCAACCCGAACGGCCGTGTGCCCACCGTTGTCGACCCCAACACAAACATTACGCTCTGGGAGTCTGGTGCCATCATCGAGTACCTCATCGAAACGTACGACAAGGAGGAAAGGCTCAGCATCTCGAGCTTCCCCGAGAAGCACCACCTTCGCCAGTTCCTCCACTTCCAGGGCACGGGCCAGGGTCCCTACTTTGGCCAAGCTGTCTGGTTCGCCAAGTACCATCCCGAGGACCTTCCCTCGGCCAAGGAGCGGTACGTCGAACAGACGGTGCGCGTTCTCTCGGTGCTCGACAAGCTACTGGAGGCAAAGGAGTATCTCGTCGGCGACAAGTGGTGAGTTTTGGCCTCAGCGTCTTCTTGCGATCGTGCTCGCGAGGCTGCTCTGCAACGAACATGATGCTGACGAGGGCAGCACGTACGCCGACATTGCCTTTGTCAACTGGAACGCCGCGGCCGAGAACGTGATTCTCAAGCCAGATTGGGATGAGAAGGTGGAGAAGAAGTATCCCAACTTTGTGGCATGGCACCGGCGGGTTACGGAGAGGCCGATCATCAAGGACGTTCTGCAGAGGCAAGCAGCCGGTCGCTGAGGCGCTGAGCAAAGATCCAGCATGGGCTGGCTGTCATCACGATTTTGATTTCCTTTGCATGAAACTGCGAAATTCTGGAGAACCTCTTCAATCGTAGCTGCACACACTTCAGCGAGGGCCAGGCAAGTATCGTCACTTAATCTAGCTACATCCCCCCCCCTCAAAAATTGATCATGATCGTAATGCATCGAACCACTGTGGCTCGCAGCGGCCTTCTTCTAGTTAGTCCTCCCACACGGCGGCCTTGGCCCGCTCAGCCTCCTCCTGTGCTCTCTTCTCTCGCTCCTTCTCAGCGTCGCGCCTCTTGCGCTCCTGCTCCCTGACGCTCTTCTCGTACGCTCGCTGCTCCTCAGTCATCTTGGGCGCCTTGACGCCCAGCGCGCCGGCAATGAGTCTCCGCGCCACAGCGTCCGTCTTCTCGGGCCGACGGCGTTCAGCGTCGGGAGACAGCGGGGAGCGCGGGCCGGGGCCGGGGCCCAAGCCGGCATCGGTGCCCATGGAGGCCCATTGGCGCGTGGTGCCGGAAGACTGGTGCGTTGGCGAGATGGGCGTCGGGGGCGGTGCCTGGGCGCCCGAGTTGACGGTAGGGGGTGCTGGTGTTTCCGAGTCGGAGGCCGAGTCTTCGTCCTCCCACGAGTCGGCCACGGGCTGCTTTGCTTTGGGCTTGGACTTGTTGTCGAGGGTCAGCTTGGAGAGGCCAGAAGACACAGAGGAGGAGGGCATGGCGAGGATATCGGCGGCGGGCGGAGGCGACTTCTGAGAAGTTCTGAGAAGGAGGATGAAGGGTACTTGAAGGAGGATGAAGAGTCCTTGAAGCAGGATGAAGAGGGGGATAAGGAGGAGGGGTATTCAAGTGAACCGTGAATAGAGCCAGGAGGAAGCCTGGTAGTGAGAGGAGGCTGGTCGAGAGATGAAAGAGGGGATAACGCTAGGTCGTACTCTGATGAGGTCTGCTCAGAAAGCACTGGTCGGCATGTATGGATGGACGAATGTACCATCAATTGTCACTCGGACCCTTCCGACGTGCTCTGACCTGCTCTGAGCCACGGCATCTGCGCATGTGAGGTGCACCTGCTGTCCTGCATTGTGGGGTCGCTACTGCTGCTCTCTTCCCCGCAGACGCACATTGGCACAGCGTCCGCTGGGATCCCTACAGTGTTGGTACTCGCTCGCATGCGACTCAAACGTCCGAAGGGAACGAAGAAGGAGAGTGTATGTGAGTCTAACAGGTAAAAATGGTGTGACGCAATTAAAAAAGAAGATACTGCTCAATTGTTGCAGCCGAGCATATGGCCACTTGCGAGGCTCAGTCGGCAAGGTGGCTCTCCATGAGAGGAAGAAGGTACGCACGCAGGGCAGCCTCGAGCCACCCTCCGCTAACCTGGCGCGGCTAGCTCACCCCCTTCATCCGAGGTTCACCCAGCCAGACTGCCAGTGTCGTCAAATTTTGGGGGATGCGCATCATCCACTTTGGCGGTATGATTAATAAAGCTCCGCGAAGAGCGACGAGCTTCCACCGACCAACAGGCACCAGGCACGGTCTACCCAGAAACGTAGACATCATCACCCACCCGACAGCGTCAATTGTACACTATTTCGCCTCCTCCCCTACTATTGCATCCACCACAGACGCGCATCCCGCCGACGCGCCTTCCTCATCCCACCCTCCCGACTTCTCCACGTCCGAGGCTGCACAGTCACCATGGTGCTTCGGACGACCTTGCCGAGGCGCCTTACCCTCGTTCCTCAGAACGCCGCGAGACGGATGCGAACACAACCTGCCCGAAGGTTATGGACCACAAATCCCGCGTGGCAATCCTCTGCCGCCGCCGCCGCCCCTGCCGTCGTCACACAGAGCCGACGAGTGCCCACCTCATGCTCCTCTAATGCCCGACCACACACCCTCGCTGCCTTTTCCACATCATCACGCGCACTCAAAGAAGACAAGGACAAAGACCAAGGCTTCTTCGACCGCTCCGTCGAGTCCCTGTCCGAAGACGAGAAGAAGGCCAATCTAGAGAACCAACGCGAGCTGGAAGACGAGCTGGCCGAGGCATCCAAGGGACCAGCATCAGGATCCGCCGCCGATGCCGCCGCTAAGAGCGAGGGTGCCGCCGATGGCAAGGCCGGCAGCGCGGCAGGCGGCTCCTCCGGCTCTTCGGGTGATGGATCTGGGTCTGGCGCCAGTGACGGTGGCCGCCGCGGCCGCAAGTCCGCCGAGCGCAGCCTGCAGAAGCCTGTCGTGCCCGACGTCTACCCCCAGGTCCTCGCTATCCCCATCGCGAAGCGACCTCTTTTCCCCGGATTCTACAAGGCCATCACCATCAAGGACCCCAACGTGGCTGCTGCCATTACCGAGATGATCAAGCGCGGCCAGCCATACGTTGGTGCCTTCCTCTTCAAGGACGAGAACGCCGACGAGGATGTCATTCGTAATCCCGACGACGTCTACGACACCGGTGTCTTCGCCCAGATCACAAGCGCCTTTCCGATGCACGGCGAGCAGGGCAGTCTGACCGCCATCCTATACCCTCACCGCCGAATTCGTCTCTCTAGCCTCCTGCCGCCCAACGTGAAGGAAGGCGATGCAGCCACTAAGGTGAGCGAGGCCAAGGTTGACCCCGTGGCCGCCACCCCGGAACCGATCCCCCAGAAGCCCGTTGAGGACGACGTTCAGACCGACAAGAAGGGCGACGTCGTTGCTTCCTTTGAGGAGAGCGCTGTCAGCCCGGCCAAGCCCGACGCAGTCGCCGAAAAGTACGAGCCTACCGCGTTCCTTAAGCGTTACGACGTTAGCCTCGTCAACGTCGAGAACCTGACCGAGGAACCCTACGATCCCAAGTCTGCCGTCATCCGTGCCGTAACGAACGAGATTGTCAACGTCTTCAAAGAGGTTGCCACCATGAACAGCCTCTTTCGTGATCAGATTTCCACCTTCTCCATGAGCCAGTCGACGGGCAACGTCACGTCCGAGCCCGCCAAGCTCGCCGACTTTGCTGCGGCGGTCTCGTCCGGCGAGCAGGGTGAACTGCAAGAAGTCTTGTCGTCGCTCAACGTTGAGGAGCGCATGCAAAAGGCCCTGATCGTCCTCAAGAAGGAGCTCATGAATGCCCAGCTGCAGTCCAAGATCACCAAGGATGTCGAGAGCAAGATCACAAAGCGCCAGCGCGAATACTGGCTCATGGAGCAGATGAAGGGCATTCGCCGCGAGCTCGGACTCGAGTCGGATGGCAAGGATAAGCTCGTGGAAAAGTTCAAGGAGAAGGCCGACAAGCTGGCTATGCCCGACGCCGTCCGCAAGGTCTTTGACGACGAGATCAACAAGCTCGCTCATCTCGAGCCCGCCGCCTCCGAGTTCAACGTGACGCGGAACTACCTGGACTGGCTGACCCAGATCCCTTGGGGCCAACGCAGTGCCGAGAACTTTGGCATCAAAAATGCCATGTCAGTCCTCGATGAGGATCACTACGGCCTCAAAGATGTCAAGGACCGTATTCTCGAGTTCATCGCCGTCGGCAAGTTGCGCGGCACTGTCGAGGGTAAGATCCTCTGCTTCGTCGGCCCTCCCGGCGTTGGCAAAACGTCCATTGGCAAGTCCATCGCCCGCGCGCTGAACCGCCAGTACTACCGCTTCAGTGTCGGTGGCCTCACCGACGTTGCTGAGATTAAGGGCCACCGTCGAACCTACGTCGGTGCGCTGCCCGGCCGCATCATCCAAGCCTTGAAGAAGTGCCAGACGGAGAACCCCCTGATCCTCATTGACGAGATTGACAAGATTGGGCGCGGCTACCAGGGAGACCCTTCTTCGGCCCTGCTAGAGCTTCTCGACCCGGAGCAGAACAGCTCTTTCCTCGACCACTACATGGATGTGCCCGTCGATCTGTCCAAGGTTCTCTTCGTCTGCACTGCCAACATGACCGACACGATCCCCCGTCCCCTGCTCGACCGCATGGAGCTCATCCAGCTCTCCGGCTACGTTGCCGACGAGCCGATGGCCATCGCCGAGCGCTACCTGGCTCCCGCCGCCAAAGAGG